ACATTTCTTATCAAGCATTGTTGCCTCCTCCTTTGTTTCCCCTTCCTATCCCTTCCCATATTTTCCCTCCCCCCACCCCCCCCAAGTTGTAAAGTTATTTTTCAACATAACGACTTGTACTTCTCATTGTCGCAACAGGTCCACCTGTATCCTTATCCTTATCCACAAATTATACCAACATCAAATACAGTGAAAGCATGGATTATATCGTGGGGGAGGGACATTCAAAGCAACAAAGAAATCATCTTATAAATATGTTAGAAACAATTGCATGAAAGAAAAAACATTTGAATACTTAGCTTGGGGTTCATTTCACCTAACATCAACATATCTGAAGAAACAAATACTTCTTAGTGCCTTAGCTTGAGGATCTTAGTAATCAAAAAATGTAATTGGTGAAGAGCTTAACTAGACAGTATTTCCCAAAATGTCACTGTACTTCTATATATTAGACAGTCTTCCTATCATGAATACAATTAAGCATCATTTGTCCTGTTTTTGACATAATTGGACATATCCACTAACCAAAAACTTGATAATGAGTTAATTTGATAGAAATAGCTTAATTGAGATTGAAGCCAGAAATAGCTACATTGTGATAAATTAGTGAAAGTGCTACTTTTTTCTTGGTTCAGTGAATCCTAATAAAAAATTTGAAAATAATGAAAATGTTTTTAAGAATCTTTGATAGAGTTATAAAAGCGGATGTCAGAATATGCATCACAGCATCGTGTGTGCCTAGTTTACTCAGTATTCATCTAATGAAATACTGAACTGATTAATAATTGTGAAGTGGGACTGGGAAGGTGGCTCAGTGATAGAGTGCTTGCCTTGCTTGCATGAGACCCTGGGTTCCATTCCTCAGCACTACATAAATAGAAGAAACCGGAAGTGGCACTGTGGCTCAAGTGGTAGAGCATTAGCCTTGAGCTGAAGAGCTGAGGGACAGCGCCCAGGCCCAGAGTTCATGCCTCACACCGACAAAAACTAAAAAATAAATTGTGAAGTGCTCTCACAATGTACAAAAATGAGTAGAGTAAAGGTATATCATAATATGATGACAAAAAAGCTGTAGAAATTATATTTCCCAGCATTAATAGAATTCTTTTCACCCCCTAACTTGTCATTTATACTGTATTATATCTCACTTTCCTTTCTGCAAGACAAGGCAACTGAACGGATATTCTGGATGTGAGAATTTTAAAACACATTTTCATCAATAGATTAGGTAATGTATGTGTTCACAGTGATTAGGAAAGCTGACAATGTAGCAGAGAAGATTGAAAAGTGTACTTTCTTTCATATTCCTTTTTGTTTCTTATCTACTGAGGTGTGCTGCTTCCACAAAAAGGCACATCCTACCAGAGCAGAGTACCATCGTAGATCACACTGTCGGCCACCCCTTGCTATGCACAGATAATACAAGATGTGTCCTTCTTTTTCTTTTTTTGTAGAAAGCCCACAGCATATCTCCAGAATGACAAAATCCAGAGAACCAAAATAATCCATAATAAAGAATATTGATAGTATTTACTATGGAAATAATCCATAGCAAATTCAAAACCTAAAGAGTTTGTTCTCGGGAAAACATTCTAACTTCACCCATGTTTTATTCATGCCAGATCTTAAAAGTTGTCTAAATATACTATGCTTTGGGATAGGCTAACTATATATATGATATATATTTATGTACTCATTGATGATACAAGAGTATATCATGCATAATAATTTTATGATACAAAGGAATGATAAGATTTGGCAAGCACAAAAGACTGAAATGAGAAAGTTTTTATAACGAACTCTCCTTAGTGCCGTAGTTCTCTGTTTATCATAAATTTGAAATTTAAATTCCTACATTGTCATTGTAGGAATATTCATGTTAACATGTCCAATGGTTCCACTTCCTGTTTTTTTATGAGGACTCTGAGCAGATGCTGGGTAGGTGCTCAGCCTCTGTAGAAGCAAGCGCCTTCTCTCAGTTCATTTCCACCATCTTTACAGGAATATGTATTTGAGCTTTAATCTGCCTTTCTCAATGTCTTGTTCTTTGTCCCATTTTACTCACTTTATTTTTTCTTAATTAGCATGTAGATGTCTTTATACTTTCTGTAAAGTGTCCTGTTTTTTCAAAATAGTGCCTGGAAGACTTCATTTGTCAGAGTTACATCACCTGAGACATATGGATTCCTTAGTAAGAGTGATTTTGGCTATGGTTACAAAGCCAGCCTATATAAATCCACAGTTAAGCTTACTGAAACCACAGGATCTATCTTGTATTCCAAATCTCAGGAATATAAAAACCTCTGGAGTAGGAGCTGGGAAGTGACACAAGTATTTCTGATACCTTTTATTGATGTGCATCTTGTTTTCCTAGAACAAGGTTTCTCATACTGAAATATATTGCTTGTTCCTTTTTTATGTACTGGTTTCCAATTTAGAATTTTCATTCCTAATTTACCATAAGATTGCTTTATTACATTGGACTTTTCATTGGAATCAAGGCATAGTTTAAAGCACATGGGACTTCTGAGACTCTAATAAATCCATTTCCCATAACTAATCCATTAGCTTCATTTCTATTTGCTTTCAGGAAAGCCAGCTCTCATTATGACTTCCTGCACAAACATTGAAAGGATCTATTTTAGTGGACATGAGCAGAAATCAATAAGAAAGTAAAACCAAATCAGACTATTTTTAGAATAAAGGATTTTTTTCTGACAACAGTGGAAAAAAACAACCACTAGAAATTTAGGTTTGATTGACAGGTATTTGTGATGTGTTATAGCCCAGTGTTTCAATAATGTTTTGAGTGGTTTGATTCGTGCTCAGTGATATCTAGGCCTTAGTTTAATCTCTTACATCTCCTATCAGACATCTCAGGTAGACCTGTAAGCATGTGTGATCTTAACTGTAACATAAATAGGGATGTCTAGAATAAACCAGGAGTAACTGAGGGATCTCTGTGCCATTTGTGACATAAATTCTAGGTAATATCACTTATGTAAAGAAAAGAGCTAAAAAGTGGTTGTTCTAGTCCCCGGTGTTCTCAATTTTGGGGAAGGGCTTGTGGAGTCCATGGAATTTCCAGAAGTTATTAATGGGGAAAGATATTCAGGAAGACCTCAGAAAGTATTTGGAATGTAATGTCCAGATTGTAAGCTCACAGAAACATGAGACTATGTATATCATGAATAGGTGGCTTCCAGGAGACAAGCCAGTAAGCCTGGGGGAAGTTTTCAGTACACCATTCAGAGTACAACCAGGACCTGGGTAGAGGAACTTTTGGTTTGCTTATTAATAAGAAACAGACATAAATAGGAATACTTAGAATTTAGTAAATAACTGCATTTAGAAGCCAAAAAAAATGAACAAGTTCAATAAATTAAGGGAGGATCTGATAGAGAGAATACATGTATAAAAGGAGAAAAGGGTTGTTTTCAACAACCAGCAGAGCAATATTAAAGCAATATTCACTACCAAAAAACCTTTCCCATAAAGCAAAGTGTTCACTGGCCCCTTGACATTTACCGTGATGAGATTTGACCTGCAATAACAAAACAGAAAGGACAAAGCAAAGGGGAAATATGTCTTTAGTACTGGTATATGAACTACCCAGAAATTCCAGAGTCCAGCTCCAGAGTCAGCTGAAGGAGAGTTAGTTCCATCCTTCATATTTTTACCCCTTCTCCAAAGGTTTATCTTTGATCTGGAGAAAAGGAAGAAGTTTGGTTAATATTATTGATAGCTTAAAGTGCAGTAAAGGATTGACTTGAGGAGAAGATTAGAAATTAGATGGGGTCTCAGACCTATGTATGGATTCTATTTAACAAAGGCTTCCTTGTTTTCTATTCGTGATTAAAAAGTTTGGAGTCGAAACAGTTCTAAATGTAATTCAGATCGCAAGTAGACTAGTTGTTTTTTTCCGTGACGTTTTATTCTTATTTTGATTTTCCTATTCCCTACAGGTGGTGTTTGGCACTTTTCATTTAATGTGAAATTTTACCCACCAGATCCTGCTCAGCTATCTGAAGATATCACCAGGTATTTGAGAAAGTTATGAAACAAGGCAGCCTTATGGTGAGCTGTTCATCATTTAGATGCAGAGAAGAGCATGCTTACATTTGATTGGCTTAAAATTATCCATGCTCAATAACAAACAAAAGGCAACAGAATAAGAGGAAACATCCGAGGAGAGTTGCTGGATCCTGTCTGTTCACAGTTGAATCACTGGTGCTAGGCTAATATTTCTATCTGCCTGACCCTCGTGGGAAAGCACTCAGAACTGAGATACTGTCATCCTCCCACCACAGCCAAATTGGATACGTTTCAACCTTAAATGATATAGCAACTCTGAGCACTCCTGTTTTAAAACTTTGAGTAGAAATGTCTGAATACTTATGCTTTGTATATAATCAACTTGAGACTTCACAGCTGTTTCTATAAAAATACCATGTACAGACAGATACATAAAAGCACATATAAATTTAGGCATGTCCTTTCTTATACCCTGTACATATACAAAAGAAAATGATTTATTTTCTGGGAAAAAAATAAAAGGTTGAGCCCAGTGCCAGTGGTTCATTCCTGTAATCCTTGCTACTCAGGAGGCTGAGATCTGAGGATTCAGGTTCAAAGTCAGTCCAGGCAGGAAAGTCTATGAAACTCTTATCTATAATTAACCACCAAAAAACTAGAAAGTGAGTTTGTGACTCAAGTGGTAGAGCACCAGCCTTGAGCAAGAAAGCTAAGGGAGAGTGGGGAAGACAGAAGAGGAGATAAGAAAGTTAGGGGAAGGGTAGGTGAGGTGAGGAAGCATGGGTTGCGGGGAGGAAGGGAGAAAGAAAGTGAAGGAAAGGGAAAGTTAAAAGGAAAAGAGAAAGAGGAAAGGAAAGGTTAAAGGGTAAACTACCCAAAGACAATAGAGTCTGGATACCAGTGGCTCGTGCCTGAATTCTAGCTACTCAGGAAGCTGAGATCTGAGGATCACAGTTCAAAGCCAGCCTAGGCAGGAAAATCATTGGCATCAACCCAATCATGGGTTGGGTTTTATTTGTATCTGTGGTTTAATGCATTGAGTGGACCTTCAGACATTACAATAGTCCTGTCTAAACAGATTGGCGGTGTGCCTCTTATATGTCAGTATTGTTAAAACTCTTCGATTTTATTTAAGCTTTGAAATATTTTGCTGTTGATGCCTTATCTGTAAATCTTGGGTGCAAAAAAAAAATCCAGAGACAAATCAGCTATTAATGGAGATACTTTTATGATGGCATGGCAAAATTACATTAAAAATGTTTTATGTTCCTTCATGTTACTTGTAGGAATAAAATTCTCAGACTTTAAGATGTCCTTCAAAGTTCACATTGATGTCTGTTAGATTCTAGGAAGATATCTCTGTAAAAGGAAATAAAGCAGGGGAAATCCTACCAGAAATGCAGAAAGGTAGAACAGAACAGCCTTCATGAAGCATAGTTTGTGAGTTACCTGAACTAGGTCTTGGTCAAGTGGCAAGATGTGGAACCTAGACCTTAAAAGACTGGTTGGGGCTAATAATGATATTTAAGAGGAGCACTATTTTTATATTACAAACTCCTCAACCAAGGAGTTCAGGGGTTGTGTGTTGGACACTATTGATTGGAATTCAAGAGTTATTTTTAAAAGATGTTAGGAAAACATATCTTTAGATTTCTTTTACTTTATTGGTAAAGCTAGCTTAGTTTTATTATGACTATTGTCTTCTCATATCCCTACATGTTTTATTTTATAGCCTAGTAGTTTTCCCATCTGTCTAGATCAATTTTAGATGAAATAACTATCACAATCTCTAGACACTGGAAAATGTATCCTGCCGCAGTTGTTGGACAGGGGGAAGTTACTGACCCACAGTGTATAGTGGAGGAGCCCCTTCTCCTGATACTGGCTTTCCCTTTTGTCCTTCTGGCTTCTGGAAGGTACTACCTCTGCTTACAATTGAGAGATGACATCGTGTCTGGAAGGCTGCCTTGCTCATTTGTGACCCTTGCCTTGCTGGGCTCCTACACAGTCCAGTCAGAACTGGGAGACTATGACCCTGACGAATGTGGGAATGATTACATTAGTGAGTTCCGCTTTGCACCCAACCACACTAAAGAACTGGAAGACAAAGTGATCGAGCTGCACAAGAGCCACAGGTTAGTGCTGGAAACCTAGAAAGCATGCCTTAACCAGTGCCTTGGACTTTATTTAGTAGATTACATGTGAGACTTTAGCAGAGTGACTGGTGGTACATGGTCAAAGTCCAGGGTCCTTCAATGCCTCTAAGCACCCATTTGCAATGTTTCCATTCAAAGCCATTTGTCTCATGAACTTTCTCCCATCTACAGACTGAGCATCCCTTACCCAAAATGCTTAGGCTTAGAAGTGTCTCAGAATATTGGGAATGTGGTAGTATTTATATAACTTGGGGATGGGACCCAAGTCTAAACATGAACTCCATTTATATTTCATATATACCTTATGCACACCTCCTGAAGGTGGTTTGGTACAATATTTCCTTGCACCTCCATTTGGACTGTGACCAGCCACCTGAAATCAGAGTGGAATTTTCCACTTGTGACATCATATCAGTACTCAGAAAGATTCCAATTTTGAAATATTTCAGATACTGCATTTTTTAATTAGAAGTGCTTACCCTGAATCCACTGGGCCTCCCTGGGAGCTTTCTCATGAGAGAGCTGGGAGCTAAATGAGAAATTTTGCAGCCTTGCCAGATCAAAGCAAAGCAGCTGATACGAAGAAGGAAAATCAACTAATTTCTTTTTAATTTTAGTTCTAACTGATAAAGAGGAAAAGCAGCCTTGTAACATATTTTCTTTTTCTAATCAGAGGAATGACACCAGCAGAAGCAGAGATGCATTTCTTGGAAAATGCCAAAAAGCTCTCCATGTATGGGGTAGATTTGCACCATGCCAAGGTATGCAGTTCTGAACCCAGTCTACTTCATGTCATTCACTGTCATTGTTGCCAGAAGCTGGTGATTTGCACTTTAGTTAATGTGTATGAAAATACTGTGGATGCAAATCTGTCTGCTTTTTAAGCCCTTATTCTATTATAAAACAAATTTAGACCTCCTATTTGCTGTAGGGCTTTGCTCCTGATGGTTCAAACTTCCATTGCTTATAGGCCAAGCCTTCTGAAAGCCCACCACAGGCCAAGCCTCTCTGATTGCCTGGTTAATTCAGTTGAAGGCTCATCTTGACAAACAAGCTCTTAGCTCACCCCGTGCTACGTGCCAACATGGGTCCTTTGCTCCCACTGGAACCTTTCTCTGCCTTTAATCTGAATGTACCCTTTTTTGTCTGGGCTGTTCTACTCTTTCTTTCTTGGCTGGCTAAACTTGGTTGATTGACCAACACCAGAGTGTCACATATGTTTTGTGTCAGGTACTGGTTATGTTCCTGTTCTGGTACACTACCAGGCACTCAATAAGCTAGGTTAAATTTAAATAATTTTATCTTTGAGGTTTAAATATTCTGATATATAGAACCACTACTTCAAAATGAGATTATATTTTAAATCCAACTAAGATTAGCCATTCCAGCTAAGAATTGCTTCATGGGCTAGCAAGTGGGAAGTAAACTGGGAGGGTTTGACTCCACTTTTGTGGAATTTTGGCAGTGAGAGAATAAAAATGTATGGACTACCAGCATACCAGGGTTAATGTGTATGTGTTTGTAGTACTGGAGCTTTAACTCATTGAACTCGGGGACCTGGAGCTATCCCTTAGTTTTTTTGCTCAAGAAAATATATTGAGCCACACCTCTACTTTCAGCTTTATTGGAGATAAGAGTCTCTCAGACTTTCTTGCCCAGTCTGGCTTTGAATCTGAATCCTCAGATCTCAGACTCCTGAGTAGCTAGGATTATAAGAGTGAGCCACTGATACCCAGCTCCAGCCTACAGAAGCACTATGGAAATATAGGGAAACTACCATGAAAAGTTTTATCAGCAAAATATGTAAATTATTTTGGGCTTCTTAGGGATGGTTCCACGTACTTCAGAAGTATGCAGAGGGACATTACTTAAAGTTATTGATTAGTTTGTTCTGTATGGGGCTAACAAGATATCTTTCCTGAATAGAGAGAAGGACTTGACCAATTTTACAGCCTAGGACTCAAAAGAATGTGCCATCACACACTTCCAGGCAAGCGAGCATTTTACACAGTCATGTTTAGATATAGAAATAAGAGAATTTCAGCTAGCTCTGTCTAAGTAAATATCTCAATAACCACAATGACCAGAGAGGGGGAAATCAATTATCTCTAGGTTCTGCTGATACTCACAATTGGGCTTCTGTGTATTTGACCTTTGGAGAGTAACTAATCCATAGTAAATTTGAACAGGAAAATGGTGGCCCTCAAACAAGGCAGGGTTTGGTTTGATTCGTGATGTCTGAGAATCAGTTGCCAGGTATGTCTCAGAGAATGAACAGTTCCAAGGTCTGAATACTGACAAGATCTCTGAGACTTAACCAGGTCTTCTTTAGGAATGTGCAGGTACATTTGATGCCAGGCTCTTTGACATCTCTGGTAATTATAGCATTAAGCCTATCTCCATTTACTTACCAGTTCAGTGTTATAATTTTTCACTTTATTAGCACTCAGGTACAATGATGTTTTTCCATTTTATGTCATGTGTAAGGGATTTCAAAATAAAAATAAGGGCCAACACTTAGTTGTTGGTTTTTTTTAACATTTCTCTTTTGATTTTTTTTTTCTGAGTGGCTAAAAGATAAGGACAGAAGATGGAAATAAAAGTAGCATGATTGAGTCAATGGAAAGCTGTTGTGTTGTGTGGGGGGGGGTTTAAGCTAAATCGCGTATTGTGCTTCGTTTACTGCCTAGAAACAGATGAAAGATTAAACCATACATTTAGAGAAGTCTGATGTAGGATATATCAAGGTTCCTATCAGTAAAACTGCAATCACTTAACATTGCTATAGCTACTGAGTTAAAATAGATGGCTCCTTTTTCATTTAATAATATGATTTGAAATTATGCCAATTTAAGAGGAAGAGAATTAAGGAAATGGAGTGCAGCCTGTTGTAAGATTTTTATCTGAATGTTAAGTATAACTAATGATTCAGTTATAGACTATTTATACTCCATCATTTCAGTGAGGAAATTTACTAGATTAAATTGGAACTAATATCCAGTCATAAGTGAAATGCTTCTTTCCCATGGATGCTATGAAAATCTTTGAGCTCTGTTGATCCATTTAGACCTTTGGAATTGGGATCTTGATCTCTGTAGCCTTAGAGAAGAAATATCCATAGTCAGTGAAGGAGGTCTTATGTTTTGGAAACCTATTCTAAATGTGTGTTGGAAAACTTACCCTAAATGATTCTTTTCTTAGGAAATCAATCATCACTTATTTGTCACTTATTGCCCATTATTAGGCTTTGACAGTCATTTATTTTATGTAAGATTATCAAAAACAGGTGCAAGTCCCTATGAGATAGCCCATGAATTAGGCAGTGCTAACGGATGACAATGTCTGAACACTGGTTCCAAGTGAAAGGAGCAGTTGAGTTTTGATGTACTGAAATTCTCCCTGTCTACATTCAGAGCCCCCTGCTAACACAAGGATAAATGTTATCTATCTGTTGAGAGTGAGATGTACCTGTTCCCAAGAAAGACTTTTCATACCAAAGAGTTGTCAACCTTACTGTGTGTGGCAGAAAATCTGATATGAGAATGTCACTTCTTGAATTGGATAAGGTGCCTCATACCTGCAAACTCAGCCTGACAACCAGAGATCAGGAGAGCTGCAGTTCAAGGCTAACCTAGTTTTAAAAAAAATAAAAAAGCAAGATAAATCTTGTTACAAAACAAGCTTGTGATAGATACCTATAATCTCAGCGGTGTGGGAGGTACAGGTAGGGAGATCGACTTCCAAGGCTGATCTGGGGCAGGAGGTGGGGGGGTGGGCGGAATTTAGTCAGACACTATCTAAAAACTAACTAAAGCAAAAGATTGGGATTTGGGCTCAAGTATAAAGTTTCTACCTAATAAGCACAAGGCCTTGAGTTCAAACTCCAGGACTACCTAAGGGGGAAAAAGTCATTTCTTATTGCTGTACAATTAATTCATTCATTCATCTCTTGTAAAATCTCACATATTCCTACCATTTTCATTTTTCAGTGACTTTTTTTTTATCAACAGATGTGTTATCTTGATCCATGTTGGGCAGGTTCTGTGTTAGTCACAAGGTCACAAAGATAAAAATAGAGCTTCTGCTCTCAACCAGATTTACTGTCCAACAGAGGAGGGGGTAACAATGCTGGGCAGGAAATGTACTCATTGCCTTCCTCATGTAATGTAACCGCTCTGTACAGCATCTTTACAATAAAATAAAATGAAAATGAAAAATGAAAAGAAGGGAATTTATTTCAACAGCATTTGCTAATGGGTATGCTAGCTATGACAAACTGACTTGGGAACACAGAGAGGCATGCATTGGAGGTACAAGGACAGGAGGTATCTACTACACCTTCTTCATCTTTTCCAGGAATATATACCACGTCCTTGTGACTTGGTGACACTAAGGGGTAATTTTAACATAGTAATTAAAAAAAGGGTTTTAAGTGTCCTTTTTCTCTCTGTAGGCTGTAGGCATATTTTCTAACTTTGCGTTCTGTAGCTAGTAGAAAGTGAATCAAAGAGCAGCCATTCAACAAGCAGTCCTTTCCCCAAGCCTGCCTTTCTGTTGATGGCATCTGATTGTCAACTGGGACTGATTGACTGGTTCGCAAGGGCCAAACATACCAGTGACTAGAAAGCATCAAGTGTAGCTTTTTAAAATGTCCTTTCAAAGTAAAGCCCTTGACAAATGGCGACAGTCTCTAGTCTTGAGCTCGCTTCTAATTTTATTATAATATCTTACCATCAAATAGTTCTACTCCTATACAGTAAGACCAATATTGACTGGGGTGTTACCTTTCCAAGGGGAGATATTTTAAGCCAATTCTCTTCTATTGCTAAACCTTTAATACTTCCTAGAAATGGGTCTAAGATATTTATTTCTTGATTCTGGATACGTCCATCTTACGTTTGTGCTGACAGGACTGGGGAAACACCTTCCCTCCCTATGAATGAGTTGAGGCTCTCTGTCTGGATTCTTCTTACCCTCTCCCCTTTGCTGAGGCTTCCAGTGACTCCTAAGCTGGGGACAGCCCTGTTGATTGTGAGACAAAAGTCTTGAGCAAAGCTTCCTAGTTGTGACCAACCTGTGACTCTTTCTGTCCCCTGCTACCAACAGGCAATGGGACTCTATACCACACACAATCCTCTTGCCTCAAGCTACCATATTTAATGGTAACAATCTACATATAACACCAAACATCTTTGGAGCTTGACCATACTTGTCTGATGGCCCTCACATATCCCTAGGGAAGTACCTACAGATAAGATGTGCAAGGGCTAAAGGAAGTTGCAATATAGTATGATCTCATTTTTTAAAAGCTATATATATATATACAAAATGTCCATATTTATCCCTGGGAGTTATAATGTTAAGGGATTCAACGTGTTTATGTTTGGAAAGATGTGGGGGAACTTCATATTCAAACTATTTGATATTTACATTTTACTCAGACAATAATGGTATATAAAGATTACGGCTCTTTATTTAAAGTAACAAAAGCCAAACACCCAGAAAACAAGGTCCCTCCTGTTTGCATATTGATCAGTAAAAGGTGTGGCCTGTGGGACCAGGGTACCATGGGACTCTGTAGTTCAGTTTTTCTCATCTGTTAAATGGGGATAAGAATAGCAACTGTCTCCACACAGCATTGTAAAGACTGGAAGTTCACAAGCATTGCCCAGAATGCACTGACACGAGTACCTGACACAAGTGAGCAAGAACTGTGCACTGTTATTACAATTATTAACTCACCACCATCTGCTTGGCCTTTTGTAGGTACAAGATTTATGCCCTCAGGCTAAGATACCTGGCTGAGCAGATATTACTCCAGATCGCCACAGTGAAAAATATCACCATTAAAATGCCGTTCTTTAATGATGAAGATTTTTAAATGGCCACTTGTAATTTTTCACATTTAAATGAGTTCATTATAGTTTCCATCCTGGCAGTTAAATCTTTGGCTGAATGGAAAACAGAAATAAGTGAAATACAGGACCATTGTTTGTTGCTGCTGTATTCCAGGATTCAGAAGGAGTCGAAATTATGTTAGGAGTCTGTGCCAGTGGCCTGTTGATATATCGTGACCGCCTGAGGATAAACAGATTTGCCTGGCCCAAGGTCCTGAAAATTTCATACAAACGGAACAACTTTTACATTAAGATCCGGCCAGGAGAGGTAAGCACACCCATCTTTGAATGTGCGTTGGGGGAAAAAGGTTCCCAGCAGCAAGCACAAATATAAATTATCTGTTCCCAAGCTCCAAGCCATGTGGGTCATATGGTGAATTATGTCTAAGTGCCTGAAAGGATTTGCTGTATGTTGATTCAATAAACAGTAATAAATAAGATGTTCTCTTCTTTATTATGTTGTTCTAGTTTTTCCCAGCTGCATACATTAATTGGAAGATTTTTCTGAACCATATCTTAACATAGAATGAAAATTCAAGAGAATTGTTTTGTGTATTTCAAACTATGAAAAAATAGATCTCTTCCTGTATGTCTTGTTAAAGCTCTGTTCTCTCATCTTTGCTGCAAATCTGACTGCACACTGAAGTGAATAACTCAGAGGAAGATTAGAACAAAAGCTGACAAGTGTGAATTATGAAAAATGTCTCATGATATTACAACGTAGTTCCCATCTATTTTATTTTTTTAAAAATCAGCTTGTTGGGTGCCAGTGGCTCATTTATATAATCCTAGCTACTCGGGAGGCTGAAATCTGAGGATGGTGGACTCAAAGCCAGCCCAGAAGCAAAGTCTACAATTTCCTACCAAAAAAGCCCAAATGGAACTGTGGCTCTAGTGGTAAAGCGCTAGCCTTGAATCCAAAAGCTCAGGGACAGAGCCCAAACCCTGAGTTCCAGTACCAGATATAGCACAAACACACACACACACACACACACACACACACACACACACACACACACACACACACCTAAAATAATTAGAGTGTTATTACCCAGTTCTTTTTTTGGGGGGGTCCAGTCGTGGGGCCTGAACTCTGGGCCTGGGCGCTGTCCCTCAGCTCTTCAGCTCATGGTATCACTCTTACCACTTGAGCCACAGCGCCACTTCCAGCTTTTTTCTTTTTGCTTATGTGGTGCTGAGGAATCGAACCCAGGGCCTCATGCATGCAAGGCAAGCGCTCTAGCACTGAGCCACCTTCCCAGCCCGTATTACCCAGTTCTTACAGGCAACAGCTTCTATGATTTTATATAATATACATATATATATAATATAATATATTATATACGTAAATAGTCATATTTATAGTTATGTACTATGTTATATATGCAAGTATAAAAACAATATAGCTAACTGTTGACAAGATATCAAAATAAGAACATTTTCAGTGGGCAATCCTTGCCCACTGAGACATTGACTTAGGTACGCTTTATACTTTTTCTGGGACTTGAACTCAGGACCTTGTGGTCTCAATTGACTTTTTTTCTGGATAATTGCATATAAGAGTATCACTTTTCTGTACTATGTAGCTTTGAACTCAACACTCAGATCTCTACCGCCTGAGTAGGTAGGTTTATAGGCATGAGCCACCAGCACCTGGCTCACTACGTATGTTATATTAAAGGTTTTTAGATACAGAAAAAAAAATATGGGTCTGGTAATGTGGCTTGGTGGTAGAGTGCTTGCCTAGCATGCATGAAGCCCTGGGTTCAATTCCTCAGCAGCACATAAACAGAAAAAGCCGGAAGTGGCATTGTAGCTCAAGTGATAGAGTGCTAGCCTTGAACAAACAAAGCTCAGGGACTGTGCCCATACCTGAATACAAGCCCCAGGACTGGCAAAAAAAAAGAAAGAAAGAAAGAAAGAATAAAAAAGGAAAAAAAAGTAAAGAAAAAAACAGCTCTTTAGGAAGAAGCCCTAAAGTTTCTAGGTCACACCAACTACCTAAGGGAGAGGACACCATAAAATAAATGTAGACAAAATTTTTTTAAGTAACCCAAAACCAATAAAATGAAAATAAATTTTACAAAACATCCAGAGAAATAAAATAAAATAATAAATATAACTGTCAGATGGCTGGCAAGTTTCAGGGGAAAGTAGTTAAACATTGGAGCCTTGGAGAGTGAGTGCATGGGATTCAAACCACGAAAAACCCATTGAACTTGACAACCAGATCCCACTGTGACATGGAAAGTTCAGGGAGAGCTGGGAGGACCTGCCAGGTTGCATCAAAGCAAGTAGACAGATAGTGGCTTCTCTTTCATGAAGTTTCATAAATGAGGAGCAAGGTGGAGTTTTGGTTGTGGAGGATTCAAAGAAAGACCTCCTTTTATGATCATATTTGTAAGTGGAGAATTATTGATGGCACACAGGCTCTGAAGAAATTGGAGCAATCAGATACAAAGTAATGTGATAGAACACTCAGGAAGCCAAGGGGCCTCTCATACTGTGCTACAGAAGGAAGCAGTAAGAAGGCATTCCCAATGGCCAAGCTGACCTCATAGACCTGATGAGTAGAGTGGCAATTGCCAGTGGCTGGGAAGGGGAGAAAGACAGAGAAGATGATTGCTGTATACAGGGGTATGCTTGGATGAGTGTATTTATCTTCAGTGTTCTATAGCTCAGTGGGTTAATTATGGTTGGTGGCAATTAGTCATATATTTCAAAACACTTAGAGAGAATTCAGAGTGTTCCCATCAAAAACAAATGATAAAATTTGACATGTGGGATATGTTGGTTACTCTGATTTGATTATTGTACATTGTATGTATGTGTTGAAAGATCACACTGGACCTCAGAAAGTACATATTCTATGAATAAAATGTTTTGAAAAACTTTTCAAAGAGAGATTCTTGTAACCCTAGTTACTAGGAGACAGTGGTCTGAGAGTCTGTGGTCTGAGCTAGCTACAAGTCAGTCTGGGGAGAAAATCTGTGAGACTTACATCCAGTGAATCATGAAAAAGTCAAAAGTAAATCTGTGGCTCAAGTGGTAGTGTGCCAGAGCAAATCTCCAGTCCTGGCACAAAGAAAAAGAAAGGAAGGAAGGAAGGAAGGAAGGAAGAAAAGGAGGGAGGGAGGGAAGGAGGGAAAGGGGAGGGAGGGAGGGGATGGAAGGAAGGAAGGAAAAAACTCTGCCTAGTATCTTGTAGCAAATAATGTGTTAGCTCTCTTTGCCTTAACATCGTGTATTAGTTACCTGCTGAATAAATGAGTGATGGTTTAATCAAGGAGTCACAGTCTATCTGGCTTGACTAGGACCTTTAGAGAGTAGCAATTTTTATAACCACCATTGCACATGAATGTCCATAGTGAATAAGAAATTGGGAAAGGCAATTACTGCAGTTGGAGCACATTATGATATATTTCCCAATTCCCCCAGTCATCTTCAGCAAACAAGAAATAGAGGTCAAGAGTGATTGTACCTCACATGCCATGCATGGGACCCCACACTTGGCAGCTTTGCCCCATAAATTACTTTTGCTATTGATTATATCAATAGTCTGCTTTGTTTGTAATAAACCGTATGTTTAAGGTGGTTGCCCTCTGGTGGCCTGATGTGTGCTGGCTTCAGAAACTGAAAACTTCGTATGTATCCACAATACTAATAAGTTATGCAGAAAATTATATCTCATTTTTTATCTTAAAACCTCAAATGACTGACAGAGTAGCATCTGAAAATAGGCACATTGAAAGATATAAAAAATGTCTTCCCAATCTCTGATCTTATGTATAATATAGAGAGATGTTAGCAATTAGCATAGAACCCATCCTTGAGCACACAAGTGAAATCAGTAAATACCAAGTTATCAAATTCCAAGGAAATGCGCAGATTCCCTTGGCAGATACCAGGAAAAAATGTCATTTCCAAGTGTGCTACAGGCTATATTTATAAATGCTTTGTTCATTTCTGGGCATTCTACCTAATGTTGTTATGTTATTGAGAAACTATGAAAATAGGATTTTGAAGAGGAGGTCAGGATGAATTGATCTCTGGAGGCGATTAAAATTCCTTCATTTCTTATCACTAGTTTTCATACATTCATAATTGTGCAGAAACATCTACTACATGTATAACAAGGTTGTCTATATTTGCAGTGTTTTCAAATGATAGATATTATAAGGTATTTTTAATAACTGTATTAATGAATTAATTCTGTACATATCCATTTAGAGAACAAAGAAAACACTTGTGGTTTATAACATGATTTTTTTGTTGTTTTGTATGTTCCTCCCCCACGATATAACCCCTGTTTTCACTGTATTTGATGTTGGTATACTTTGTGGAAGGGAAGGGAAAAAACAAATTGTTGAAATGGGGACACAGGTGGACCCATTGCAACAATGAGATGTACAAGATGTTATGTTGAAAAACGAACTTTACAACTTTGGTGAGGGGGAGGTTTGGGTGGGGGGGGCGGGGGAGGATGGGAAGAGATGAGAAGGGGAAACAAAGGAGGAGGCTACAATGCTTGATAAGAAATGTACTCATTACCTTGCCCATATAATTGTAACCCCTCTGTACCGTATTTTCACAATTAAAAAAAAAAGAAAACACTTGTGGGTGGCATTATGAGCCTGCAAACTGCAGAGCTTCTGTTATTTTAATTCCAGTTGACTTTATTCTGCAATATGGTTTTTGTTATTGTTTTAGTTTGAACAATTTGAAAGTACCATTGGATTTAAGCTGCCAAATCATCGAGCTGCCAAGCGTTTGTGGAAAGTGTGTGTTGAACATCATACATTTTTCAGGTAAGTAGAGATCATTTGGGATTTTTCCTGACAAGTAATTGAAATGACTGGAATCACTTACTCTGATAAAGGTCATTAGGAAAAATATGGAGACATACTCTCTCTCATTTCTTAATTTCATTCTCACAAAGTTTTGTTTTATTTTGGGGGTTTTTTAGTTTTGTTTTTTGGTCGGCCATGGGCTTGAACTTAGTGCCTGGGCTCTGTCCCTCAGCTTTTTTGCTCAACGCTAGTGTTCTACCACATTGACCCACAGTGCCACTTCTGGTTTTTTGGTGGCTAATTGAAGATAAGGGTCTCATGGACCTTCCAGCCTGGGCTGGTCTTGATCCACAAACCTCAATTCTCAGACTCCTGAGTAGCTAGGATTCCAGGCATGAGCCCCCAGTGCCTGGCACAAAGTTCTTGATAAGAACTTCTGGTTAGCTATGAAGGATCTTCTTTGTCTTAGCCTCTCTCATCCTTGTCTCTATTGTTATTCATTGTTTGTAGAATATCTAGTCCATTTCTTGCTGGATTTTAGCTTTTTGTGGGGTTTTCTAGTGGTTTGGTTGTGCTGGAGATTAAAGCCAGAGCCTTGAGCATGCTAGGCCAGGCACTCTTATTACTATGCTGAATCTTCTGCCCATTCCTTACTATTGCAATTATATTTTTTCCTGTTATTTTTCTTTTTCGTTTTTTCCTCCTGTACTGGTAGTACTATGTCTTAAATTCAGGGCTCTCATTCAGCTCTCTTGCAACTGACTTGGAGCTATTCCACTTGAACTGTATCTGTAGTCTGGATTTTTGCTAGTTAACTGGAAAAGGATTCTCATGGATTTTCCTACTCTGGGCTGTCTTCAAACTGAGATCCTCCTGGTCTCAGCCTCCTAAGTAGCTAGGAATACAAGCATGAGCCACTGACACTAGGTTTATTTTAATTGTTTCTTAATACTCTGAACTCCTTTACTCATGAATAGTCTAGTACAATTAGACTGAAGCCTAAAAAACATAATTTGCTGGGCACTAGTGGCTCACGCTTAGACTCCTAGCTATTCAATAGGCTGAGGCCTGAAGGATTTCAATTTGAAGTCAGCCAGCACTGGCAAAAAAAAAAAAAGTTGGAGAGAACATCTCCAATTAACCAGCAAAAATCCAGACTGGAAGCATTGTTCAAGTAGTAGGGCACCAGGTATGAGTGACCATACTTAGTAAGTGCAAAGCCCTAGTATTGGCAAATACAATAAAAACAAAATATCTCTCTTCTTCCTCACTCATGAAGATGACGTTTGGGTATTTATTAAAGCTCATCTCATCCCCTAAACCCTGTTTTGCTTATATTGTCTCAACAACATCTCTAGTTAATAAATACTGTGAATGGATGGTTTTCTTTATTCTGAAATGGTTGTGTGTTACATCTTTAGCACACAAAGCACAGCACAATGAAAGAAAGGAAGGCAGGTAGGAAGGAAGGCAGGAAGAAAGGAAGGGAGGGAGGGAGGGAGGAAGGAAGGAAGGAAGGAAGAAAGGAAGGAAGGAAGGAAGGAATGAAGAAGAGAAAGGAAAAGGAAAGAAAGTAGGGAAAATGGGGGAAAAACAGTTGAAAAAGTATTCCCAAATTGAATTAATTGTCCTGGTATTTTTTTCTTTAATATCTTTAGACTATTGTTGCCAGAAGCCCCTCCAAAGAAATTCCTAACCTTGGGTTCCAAGTTCCGATACAGTGGCAGAACACAGGCCCAAACAAGAAGAGCCAGCGCGTTGATTGATCGCCCAGCGCCTTACTTCGAACGCTCGTCCAGCAAACGGTACACCATGTCTCGCAGCTTAGATGGAGGTAGGCATCACAAACTGCCTCTTAAATCACTACTCAGCAAGGTGTCTGAAGCCAGGAGGGCTCTCCTAAACCATACATCATCTTGGGTATTGTAAATGAAAAGCAGTGTGGATATGGGCTGGAGAGCAGATTTTTTTAAGGTCTTCAACTTGAAAAATGACCTTTTATGGTAGAGTTACATAATATTATATCAACTTAGGTACTAAGGGAATGGAAAGCATAGCTTTTATAAACCAGATCCCTGAATTTATAGAAAGATATTCTCATTTTAAATACTGAAGTCATATATTCTCAAGTAATTTGTTTCTCTAGCCAGCCACTATTACCATGATTAGCAGGTTTGTCTTGGGCTACTTGTTTCACAAAGAAAAGTATCAGTTAAATTTGTCTCTTACTAACATATTGTAGAAGTAAAATATGGCCTTAATCCGTTCACTGGGGAAAACTGGGAGAAAGGAAAACCCCTGTAGGCCAAGATAACATTGCCATGTGAATATTCTCTACTGCTTAGTTCAATGTGTGAGACAGAGCCCTAGTCACTTAGGTGACTTCTGTAGGTCTTTTAGTAGAACTATGTTTTGCAGGTCTTTTAGTAGAACTGTGTTTTGTTTCACAGTTGTGAGTTGCTTGAGGTATGCTCCTGTTTCAAGGCGTGCCAGTGATAATGATATTTGGAACCTGAGTCACAGGCAGGCCTCTGCCTTCTAATACAAAGCAGCTGGTGATTAGTTGTTTACTCAAGGCCCAGCCTATGAAAACAAAAAGAGCTAGAAATTTTTGACATGTGTGTATAATTTTAACAAATAAATATAAATAGGAATACAATTACAAATGCCTGGGACCTTCTCCTTCCTCTCTTCTGTTTGCATCTGTACCCCAAAGTATCTCAGGTCCCCCACCCTTCTCTCCACAGCCCAGAGTGGCTGGTGGGCTCAGATATTTTATTCGTTGCTGAAACAGACTACTTCCTAAACAAATACTTTATAGTTATGGAAGAAAATCCCAAGTGTATTATGAGTGTCATGTTATTTGTGTTGCTATTGGGATAGAAACCATTAAATGCATAGACAAATACAGACTAAAAATTAGACTCTATTACCCTCTGTCTGGGTGATGGCTGGAAAATAATTTCAACTCTTTACATCTTGGTTTTAATCATCTGAGAAATGGGAGTAAGGCCATTGTCAACAGTGTTGCTGTGAACCCTATAGAACACATATATGGAAGCGGTTAAGGTATAGCTATACTTATAACTATCTGAATAATTATTCTCCTAGACTTTTGTGAGCTAGCCTTAGACATTCATTACTTTTTGAATTCACAGTCTGCCAACTTTGAGTTGAAAATACTACTTAAGAAAATTCTACTGATGCCGGGCGCTGGTGGCTCACGCCTGTAATCCTAGCTACTCAGGAGGCTGAGATCTGAGGATCATGGTTCAAAGCCAGCCCGGGCAGGAAAGATGTGAGACTCCTATCTCCAATAACCACCAGAAAACCGGAAGTGGCACTGTAGCTCAAGTGGTAGAGTGCTCGTCTTGAGCTGAAGAGTTGAGGGACAGCGCCCAGGCCCAGAGTTCAAGCCCCACAACTGACCAAAAAAAAAGGAAATTCTACTGAACATATACAAGCTTTTTTTCCCTTATGATTAACCCCCAAACAAGACAGTGTGACAACTATTCACAAAGGATTTGTCACTATTCACATTACATTAGTCATGACAAGTCATCTAGAGATGATATAAGTTATCTAGTGTATCCAATAGGATGTGCCGCGTTCTGTGTAAACACCATACTATCTTATATAAGGGACAAACACCACACATGTTTGGATTTGAGCAGGCAAGGGGTTGCTGAAAATGATACCATATGAATACCAAGGGAAGTCGACTATTCAGTGTCTTCTCAGATTTCTGGACACTGTACTTACAGCCAAGCCTTAGGAATAATATATTTATTAGGATTGTTTTGAGTTGAATTAAGACTTTGAAATGTCCTTGTAAATACTGAAGCTTTTCTTTCTGCTCTGTCCCATCACTCTTCTATAACAAACCTCCACTAGCTATTATATATCCTCTAAGTCAGTATTTAAGGACCTTTCATAGAATCACATGTTGTTTTCTTGAATCCACCCACTTGGTTCAGTGATGTGCACCCAGGGGAACATGTTTGTTGTGAATATTGTTTTCCTCATGACCTTTTGTGTGATAATGACATTTGAGAAGACAGAAGACAATTGTGAAGTCAATGTACTAATACCCTGCTGTCTCTTCCTCCTTGCCCAAAAGTGATGTTAGTATGTCTTGTCTCACTCTTTTCAGTCCTGCCAAATCTAGTATGTTTTCTGCTCCTGCTGAGCTGTGTGCTATGGCTGCATGTTGGAACATGAAATGCTTTTATGCAAGATGGCATCTTATACCCAACAGAATAACTGGTTCATTAAGACACTGTCTCATGGAGCATTTTCATCAGTATGAAGCAACATAAAATATCTTAGTGAAAATATTTAAGAGCTTCAGGTATTAAGTTTTCAGAAAAAAAAGATTTTTTTTCCAGTCTTCATTTGTATTTTACAGATCTGAAAATAGGAATGCAGATTATATTTTGGCTGTGATCAGCTACTGTATATTTGAAAAGCGGTGTTCATAGGTTTCAATATTTTTATGATATCTAAAGCCTAAAATTAGGAGTAGCAAATTTTAAATTTTAATTAAGGAACTCTTTCACTAAGACATTTTGGCTGGGATGTGTTTGCATGCTTTACATTTGCATGGATTTCATTTAGTACCATTTGTCTTATTTTTCCAAAATGTTAGAGATGTGAATGAATGTATATGCATACCATCATGGCAGTCTGTGTAGAAATGAAAACATCTCCTTACTAAAGTTGGGAAGAATTACCATCTGAATTTTATAATCTCTGCCATGATGGTTAATTTTCATGATGACCCTTGAGTCTTTTATATTAGAAGTGACAGACTTATCCGTGTTAGATAATAATAGAACTACATCAATGCTCCTTAGTAAATGGCACTTCCAAAGAGACATGTTCAAAGGCAGATGTAATTGAGTAAGTTGCCTACTGGAAATGTCACTGTGAGTCATTGAGCTTGCCACTGAGTATCTGGTGAATGTACCCTACCAGGGGTTCTTTCTTCTACCCACCTCTGTCTTCATATACACTCTTGCCCCAGAGATCCTTAGAATGGGTAGGATTCTTCTGGACTTCAAGACATGAGCATTTAAATAATTTTAAGACACTAGTTTAGGTGATAGAGAAAAAGGAGGCTACTGTAGTCCCTGGGTAATGGTTCCTACAGAACTGATTGATCTTTTCAAGACAAGCATGGTATTTTGTAGTGGTATGTTTTTCACCAGTAATAAGAGAATATGATGCTGTTGATATGTCTTCTGATTTAACTATTTCAGATTTTATTTCTCCAATTGTATTTGCTTTTAGCATCAGTGAATGAAAACCATGAAATATACATGAAGGATTCTATGTCTGCTGCAGAGGTTGGTACTGGCCAGTACGCCACAACAAAGGGCATCTCTCAGACCAACTTGATCACCACTGTGACCCCTGAGAAAAAGGCTGAGGAGGAACGCGATGAGGAAGAGGACAGACGGAGAAAGGCCGAGGAAGCCACGCCAGTGGCGGCAGTCCGGCATGAGGGAAAGGTACAACTCCCAGACTGCCTCTCAGAGCACCTCAGCTTCTCAGCAGGCTAGATCATTCTCAGGATATAAACCCAGAATAGGTTAAGATGGAGGGGTGCTCATATTTCAGCACTAGTCATATCTGTGTCTACTTCCTAATTAATATTCCTGTTTTAACATTTTTCTTCTAAGAATCACTTTCTTAACTTCTGGAAGTTTTTTTACTTTAGCGAGGAATGTGCTATATATAAGACTTTCAACAGCTGTCCTTTAAGTCTCCCTTAAAAAAATGTTTTTGGTAGTATAATCCATGTTTCTGTTTGGGTTCACATTTCACAACCAGTAGGAAAGCTGCTTTCTTTGTTTCTGGCCTCATTCTCCTACCCAAGGGTAGTGTGATTTTTTTTTAATCCACAGTAATCACTAGTCTTCTAGTTACAAACCGGTCAGCACAGGAATGAGAGGCCATGTTTTTAAAAAAAGGGATCCTCAGGCATCAAGTTGCAGTGGGAGACAAAACGTGAATTTAGTAGCAATTCCTCTGGGTGTTCTATTCATTCCCTTTCGTGACATCATCTCCCTCCCAGTGAAATTTCCTTTTAAACATTGTTTTTGAATGTCAGGTTTATTTGTGGTGATCTAGTACTGTAAAGCAACTTTTTTAGCAAAATAACTTAAAATTCAACACATTGGAAGATTTATATATAATAGCAATGGATAAGAAGAGTGGCCTCTGGCATGTACAGGGTACAGAGAAAGAAGGATGTCCGAGAATAAAGATGCCTGTTACCCTGAAACGTGAGAACATTCTGTTTACAAGTGCTCTTTCAAATGTGGGCTCTTGTAATGTCGATGAATGTGAGATAGAATCACCACATCGGCCCTATAGAAAAACTTGATAGACATCTTAATCAGGTAGATCAACAAACAAACAATTTCCAGAACTAAGGTTATGACTCAGTGGTAGAGCACTTGCTTAGAATAGAAAAAAGCCTAGATTGGATGCCCAGAAATTACAAAAAAAAGAATTTCGGTAGCATGTTAGAATAGTCCAAATGACTCAATCCATCATCTTCCTAATTTTGTTTTTTGAGGACAAGATCTTTTATTTGACAAACACAAAAAGACACCCAGAGTAGAAACTATAGCAAGACTATTCAATGTACAATGTGTTTAATTCTAAAATTTGCTCTTACACTCTTCCTGTCACTTACGTCAAGGCCAGATCTTAGCTGGAACAGGAAACGAAGGTCACAGACCTGCAAGCTGACTGTGTGGTTCTTATACTTGATTGTTGCAAAATCGCTTGCATCAACAAATGGTTTTCATGAATGTGTAAATCCGAGGCATACAGAAGTAAATGATTTTTAGTTTACTCCCAGAGTAGGTCCAAGTACTCTCCCCTTTAATTTGATTTTTTAAAGACCACCAGGGGAGTCTTTAAATGTAGCCCTCAGCTATCCTCACGTTATGCCCATGATGTGATGGGTAAGTTAAAAGACAAAGAAAATGACTACCTTTCTAGTCTGAGTCTCTGAGAAGTCAGTACTTAGTAGAGGGAGGCACCTTCAAGGCTGGAGCTGAGCTTGAGTGCTTAATAGGCACTGGTTGCCTTCCTCCTCCCCAACCCCCAGTGCAAAGCTATCTTTTAGAAAGTAGTTTAATAAGCAGCATGGAAGATTAAACCACAATTTTATTCTTTTCCATTTTCAAAGAGTAACAGAGAAGGGGTACTTATTTTTAACTAAATGAAAAGGTATTACTAAGCTTACTTCTTAGAAGATGGGTCCCCCAGGTTGTTTGAAAAGAAGACATATTTCTCCAGTTACTGATGCAGCCAGGTTTAGGACATCACCTCCCTGGGTTCAAACAGAAGGATTCTTAAATGTTTCTTCCTAGTCAAACGGGATTTGTGCAGGTTTCTGTTAAATGCCAAATGTGAGAGTTTGGGAACCGGTATATCTGTCTCATAGTCAAAAGAGACACTTCTAATGCTCCTATACCCAAGATACATTTTATTTTTGCTTTTCTTTCCTTCTGTTGCTATATTTTACCACTTCTGCATGGGTCAGGCAGCAGGATGGTTCCATGCTGTTAGGTTGCTAGGCAAAGCACACATACAGACATGAACACTTGCATGCATGCACGCACACACCAACAGCACCAGCACTAGCAAATTATCTCCAGACTCTCTGTGCCAAGCTATTAACAGCTCCTCTGTTCTGTCCAGGGCCTGCTTGGGGTTTGCTTGCTTCCTTTCCTCCTGTTCTTGTCCAGCAGCCCCTCTACCACCTAAAGAGGAAATTGAATTTGGGACTGCGACGGCTCTACAGAATAGAATTAGATTTCCTTGTCCCATGAAGGTTGGCACTCACTAGGGAGCACTTTTGTGCAACTGCTTGCTTTATCTTTGTATTAAGGACACAAACCAAAGGTATAAACATGCCTTTATCTGTTAAGAGCAATCACAAAGCTGAAGGATTGTCTTTTCTATTATTTAGGGACCACAAATAATAGAAACTGAACACACAGAAACCATGTTACAAGAAAACACATTCTTTTTGACATTGAGCTTGTTGAAACCACTTACCTGAGTTGAAGTTCCACTTATATCCTTGATAAAGGAGCCAAAAGAGAAGAGTTTTCAAAATGAACCTCAGTCCTTTTGGGGGGGAGTCAGAGTTCCTGAAATACTAATTGTTGAATATCCTCATTGTAACTACTCAGCAGATAGGAGTGGGGCCAGAAACTTCTTGATTGGGAAATCTAGCTGTTTGGGAATGTCATGTCCCAAGAAGGCAACATGTGTTTAAATAATCAAAATTTTAATTGGATTTAATTTTAATCCAGCTAAACTATGTGGTGCATGCCTGTAATCCTAGCTACTCAGGAGGCTAAGAAAGTCTCTGAGACTCTTATCTCCAATTAAGCAGCAGAAAACTGGAAGTGGAACTATGGTTCAAGTGGTAGAGTGCCAGTCTTGAGCAGAAAAAAGCTAAGTTCAAGCCATAATACTGGCACATACCCACAAAAGAAAAAAAAAGGAAAAGAAAAGAAAAAAATAGATCAATCTATTATCTGGAGACAAGAGAAGGTTATTGAAAGTCTTGATTTTGGTTTAGCAGAGATTTATGTTTGCTCTCAAAACCCAAGCACTTTCTCAGGATCTCAGTCTAAAATGAATTTTTTTGACCATGGGAAATGTATACGATGTGAGGGTTGTCCACACATACCTTCTGCTCTGACTCTGACATGAAATTCCCACCCCAGGGTGGGGATGATGATGGTCTCCTGGGATTTCTGTAGCCATCTGTGACAATGTTGGCATGCAGCTTGACTACTTTAAAATTCACAAGCAAACCTAGCGCTAAAACTCTTGTTTGACAATTTTCTAAGAAAAGTAACTAATTGCAGTTTTCTTTTTGTCCCTTTGCATCTCTGTTTGCTGCTTCCTGTCTCTCTCTCTCTCTTTCTCTCTCTGTCTCTTTTCATATCAGTCACCTAGGCATGGCACTGACTCATGTCCCTTGTCACCCTCATCTGCCCATTTTGACCCTACATCTCCCACAGAGCTCCGTAGGAGATGTAAGGAGAATGAACGCAAACCACCAGGTTCCGAGCTGCTGCTAGCTGAGCATTTGCCTGGAGAGCCTGCCTTGGATAAGGACAGCCAAGGGAAGGCTTACATAGGGGATCAAGATGTAGCATTTAGCTACAGACAGCAGACTGGCAAGGGAACCACCCTGTTTTCCTTCTCCTTGCAGCTCCCTGACTCTTTCCCCTCGCTCCTAGATGATGACGGGTACCTGTCTTTCCCCAACCTGTCTGAAAGCAACCTCCTACCCCAGAGCTTGCAAAATTACCTCCCCATCCGCTCCCCATCCCTGGTACCCTGTTTCCTCTTCATCTTCTTCTTCCTGCTCTCCGCCTCCTTCTCAGTGCCATACGCCCTCACTCTCTCCTTCCCTCTGGCTCTGTGCCTCTGCTACCTGGAGCCCAAGGCGGCCTCCTTGAGCGCCTCCCTAGACAATGACCCGAGTGACAGTTCAGAGGAAGAGGTGTGTACCTCGGCATAGAACACACTTCCCCTGCGTGTTCCGTGCTTCAGTCCGAAACAGTGTTAGCCGGCTGCTGCCATAGTGGTCTGACTTTCAGAGCCTCATTTATTGTTTGTGCCAATTTGTTAAGGTTTTGTGTGTTGGGGAAGGGGGTTCAAGCCGGGAGGGGTGGGGTCCCTGGGTTAGGCACAACACCATGTGGACGTAGAAGTCTGGCCAACTCAAAGTTATTCTGCTGCCCGTTGAGTTCTAAATGGGCTGAAGAATCCAACTAGAAATGGATTTCAAATAACCTATTTGCTGCGTAAAAGACCAGGGCTCACTTAGAGATTCTGTTCGGTTCCTTCCTAATAAAGTAAACCACATGTAGGACAGCTAAGTAGCAAATAGCTTTCATGTTAAATGAGATCAAGGAGACAGGAGAGAGTACCATCCAAAGAGACACCATCACCTGGGAAATTCTGAAATGCCTCCTCAGCCATCTTTGATATTTCTTGTCCTTGTTACTCTAAGATGGATCCTATTCCACTGTGCATTGGGTCAGAAAGAAGCCTATCAAGGGCTGGGAAGGTGGCTTAGTGGTAGAGCGCTTGCCTTGCATGCCTGAGGCCCTGGGTTCGATTCCTCAGCACCACATAAGCAGGAGGGAAAAAAAGCCGGAAGTGGCGCTGTGGCTCAAATGGTAGAGTGCTAGCCTTGAGCTGAAGAGCTGAGGGACAGCGCCCAGGCCCAGAGTTCAGGCCCACAACCGGACCCAAAAAATTAAAATTAAAAGAAAGAAGCCTATCAAAGTTTAGCTCATCAGTCATTGGTGAGGCTAGAACAGGACTAGAAAGAACCATATGCGGGACAGTAATGTCTCAATGGAATCAGGAAAAAAGGTTTATTTACGGTTTCTCTGTGTTATTAAAACAAGTCTCACTGGTGCAAATTGTCAGACAGCAGCAATCCTTCAAATCTAGCATAAGGCAGATACTCCCCACATCTGGACTGGGTGGTGAAGTCTTGGAAAGTGGCACTTAGTCAGGTGTGCATATAGTTGAGAAAGAACCAGAGCTTTCAGCCTGCCAGTTTCTTATCCCTCTTATCCAACAAATGGATGCGATAACATAGCCAGCAACTTTTGCTCTTAAGTCCTCACCTTTCTCTAAGGCCCTGTGAACAGTACAACTGCTTGACTTCAAACTAAGCACAGGGAAAAGAATAGAAGCTGCCCGCAGTGGCTCTGGCTGTCATGACCTCACTCTCCTGCCCCTCTCCAGCCCGCTCCAGCTCTCCTATATCCACCAAGAAAGAGCTTTTGTGGCAGGAGACAAGACAAGCAATTCTTAGCATTTAAAAAAAAGAAGTCGGGGCTGGGGCAAGGTGGCTCAGTGGTAGAGTGCTTGCCTTGCATGCATGAGACCCTGGGTTCGATTCCTCAGCACCACATAAGAAAAAGAAAAAAGCCAGAAGTGGTGCTGTGGCTCAAGTGGTAGAGCGCTAGCCTTGAGCTGAAGAGCTGTGGGACAGTGCCCAGGCCCAGAGTTCAGGCCCCATGACTGGACCTCCCCCCCAAAAAAAAGAGAAGTCACCAAGTCAAAGCAACACTACAAAAAGAGTCTATTCAGTTCTGAGCAGCCCCTGGGAATACACAGAGCTGCTAAGGTGTTTCAGGACCTGTATTTAGTGGTATCATGACATTGCTGTGTGAAGCAGAAGAGAAAAAATATATATAAATGATCTCAAAGGTGCTCTAAAGTCTTGGCTTTTCCATTTGTTATTGCATAAGAGTATTTTTTCAATGTTAACACATATGTACATACAAATAGGTAACTATTCTTATATCTGGAACATATTTTGAAAACCTCTTTAAATCCTAGGCTTGAATATCAACATTTCTCATAGTACAATATTATTTAATAGTATAAAACTAGCACCCACTCCAATTAAGAATAGCAGAGTGTCAATAAAGTGGATTTCTAACATAGAGATACATTTTTTTCCATTAACAGAGCAATGAGTCCTCCTACTAACATAAGCTGGAGAAAAGAAGATTTCTAAATTCTCACTAACTGCTTGAACTTCTGTATAGCCTGCCACACAGACCTTGTGCCTAATCCAGGGAATACATCTTGTAACCCGTGCATGAGAATTAATGTGAAACTTGGGCATGTCTGCATTACATCAGCAAAACAAATCACAGCACCCACTGTTGCAAGCTAGTGACTGAGGGGTGGCAACAACTCAGTCCAAGCTATCCTTGTAATACACACAGCTCTGACTCTGAATTAGCACTGACCACTGTACTCTTCTCTCTCTTTTCTAGCCTCAGTTAGCCTGTGACAGCTTTCCTGTCAAATACAACACCAGGTATATTTGGCCATCTGTTCCATGTAGATTCTGTACCTCAGGTGTTAAGACCTTCATATTCCAAGGTCCACATGAACTAAAGAAATCATATTGAGGTCATTGTACTTTTACGAATTGCCATTTGCTTACATGGCCTATTTTATTCTCTGGACCTCCAGCACTTTGGCAGCTGAGCTAGCTAACTTGTTAACATACAGTTCATCTCTGTCACTTGTGTTTTACAAAAACACTAATGGTAGTAATTCTTTTCACATTTCTCATCTGTTATAGCAAATTAATCAGTTTGTCTTTCTCAAGCAAACCCCCTCAGTATAGAAAGCCTAGCCATCTCAAGCTATAGAATAGCCAACCAATCTTATTTTTTGCAGAATGAGATATAATATCTCAGCATCTTTCAATATACAGAAGAATTCAGCTAACTTGTAACATAGAATGTCATTACATATTAATTTCTAAGTCATTTGTTGATAATACTAATTAAAAAGAGAGATTGGAAGAATTGATTTATAAACAATTCAAGTTGTGTAAAGATAATTTATGTGGTAGTTTTGACATGCCATACATTTTGCAATTTTTTGGAGTTGTAGTACACTATATATATAATATTTGCTGTAAATGCTGCTTTATTCAGTTTCCATTACTTCATTTATTGATTGCTTATTGATCAGGCACTATGCTTGTTGACTGACTATATGATAAGTAGGAATTTGAGAGTCTACAGATGATTTGGTTCTTTGTTTTAGGGGGATGTTTTTTATATGGGGGGCTCACGATATTGCTTGGATGGCTTTGCACTCTAAATTCTCCTGCCTCCATATTCCAAGTAGCCAGGACTGCAGATGTGTGCTACACTACCTTTATTTGGAAGTGCAAATATGGCAAAGATAGTGTGATAGTGTACATCTAGGAAAATTAGTAATAATTATGCAATATATTGGTAACAATATATTATGATTATTATGGGCAACTCTCAGTGCTAGCATGAGACAATATATAAAGTACTTGGTCCATTATCCAATATGGTTAGCGCAATTATCTTCCTCAGTTTCCAAGAAGAATTAATTAAATTGATTAAGTGATTAATTAAATTATGGATTAAGATATAAAATAGGCCTAATTATCACAGGCTTGAACAGCAAGTATTTGAGGGTATGTTAGTCTGATATCAGATGCCCTCACTCTTACCTTCAGCTCAACTCTAATGAAAAGATGTTGGAATGATAATTAAATAAAGTTTAAAACCACAGAAAATAATCCAAAGAGGAGAAAAAATACCTTCAGACCTTTAGGCCTATTTGACACAACTAATTAGGTCAAGAAGCATATACCATTCTTAGTTTTTCTTTTTTGCCAGTCCTGGGGCTTGAACTCAGAGCCTGGCCACTGTCCCTGAGCCTCGCTGTGGTCAAGGCTAGCTCTCTATCACTTGAGCCACAGCACCATTTCTCGCTTTTTTGAGTAATTTATTGGAGATAAGAGTCTTTCAGGAACTTTTCTGCCCAGCCTGGCTTTGAACCACGATCCTCAGATCTTAGCCTTCTGAGTAGTTAGAATTACAGACATGAGCCACTGGTGCCTAGCTTCTTGGTTTTTCTTGAAAGCTTAAAAGATCTTAGTATATTCTATACACTTGAACAGTAGCCTATCTCTTTCTTACTAGCTGAAATTGATCTTTCTATCAGTTTTGGAAGCCATGCTAATATTATAGTAGGGATTACACTTGTAAGAAAACTTAGGTGCTTAGTTACATTTTCTTTACAATCTACTGAAAATTGTTTACATCTTGGCTTGATCGCAAGGTACGACCCTCAGATACACATTCTAATCATGCATTCTAGTTTAGAATCCCTTTTAGTTTAGAAATACATAAAATGGAAGAAAACAGCTTGGCCAGTTACATTGACAGACACAGGACTCTCCTAGTTGTCACTTTTTGTCCTTGTCCTTTGGAGTGAGAAATTTTTATGAGACAGATCTACAGCCATACAAGGCTCAGCTCTGGTTTTTGCTTTCAAAATGTCATGTCTCAGCTGGGCACTGGTGTCTCACATCTATCATGCTAGCTACTTAGAAGGCTGAGATCTGAGGATTCAAAGCTAGCCCAGATAGGAAAATCCATGAGACTCTTATTTCCAGTTAACATGTAAAAACAAAAAAAGCTAGAAGTGGATGCTGAAATGGTAGAGCACCAGCCTTGAACAGAAAAAGTTAAGGGACTGACTTTAAGGTTCTGACTTTAAGCACCCAGAACACACACACACACACACACACACACACACACACACACACACACTTTGATGAATGGATTTTTCCAACGATTAACATGTAGAGGGAAAATTAGTTATGAATAGAGCAGTTAGACAATACTCCAGTATCCTGTCCATGGCTATACTCTTCTCAAGAACATTTTCAGTCATAAACCTCTTTGAAATAGATTAAAAACCAACTCTGAGATTGCTATTGGAAATCTAGGCTCTATTAAATGCTGTGCTTTGTTTTATTTGTTTTAAATAGATGTCTCTCTCATTCTCTTTCTCTTTCTCTTGACTATTATTTGCATCATTTGAATGATATTTCTATCATGAGATATACCTGTCATATTGGAGGGTGGATGCTAAAACAGTCTATTAGCAGGACTATTTGGAAGCTGAGGTACATTTTTCTCCATAAAACATTTGCCTGTGAGTCACTGGCATGTGTTTTTGGTTATCAGGAGGTAATGCAGACGGCCTGGTCGTCATTGATAGATGTAAATTATCCAGTGGTATAAATGAGGGGCTGAAAGTCCAGTGACTGTTACAGTAGCTTCTTATGTCAATTTACATTTTCCTTTATCTTTCAAATATGACATATGACAAGAATAAATAATACGTGTACACCTCAATTTTATTTCATGAAGCATTTTGAGGAGAGCTTTGTTGGGATGTCAGTGAACAGGGTGGGAGGAGATTGACAAATTGGGTTTCCTGAGATGGTGAGGCAGACAGGTCAGGGTGGCCCCGGGCAGTGAGTCAGGCCCTGCAGCTCCTGCAGGTGGTGTGTGCCTCGGGTCTTCCTTGGAGGGGCTCTGCTGATGACCCCTAGCTCTGGCTCTTCCTTTGCTTTGCTTGAACCTGCATTTCTGTGGGAAAGTAGTATGGCCACAGACCCCAGAGAGGGCGCATGAACATCTCTGCCTGTGTGTGCCCTGTTTGACCAGATGGGTTTATTTTCTGTCTCTGCTTCCTTCTGGATCCTGATTATGTGATCCACAGACTGACAGCGAGCGGACTGATACCGCAGCTGATGGGGAAACCACAGCCACAGAGGTGAGTGTAATTTAAAAAAAATAATAAAAATAAAAACAAAAAAGGCCTCCTGGCTGGAAGTGACCTAAGGAAAATGCCTTTGCAGTGGGTTATCTCTGCCTGCAGGGATTCTGTGTGTTGTCTTATGGAGTGGAGATAAATTCTAACTTTCAAAATAGGAACTAAATGTATCTCCTACTGCCTTAGACCAGTGGTTCTCAGCTTCTGGTGTGCATCATCCAGAATCACCTGGAAGGTCCTAGACTGGTGTTTCTCCTTCCAAGCTGCAGAGTATTTACACATCTCACTAATTCCAGCGATGCTGACTGTGTTGCTCTGAGGATCATGTTTGGGAGACCACCTGCCCAAACAGACAATACCTTTAAAAAGAAAAGAAAGGATTCTCCTATCTCTGATGAGAGGCTGTTTGTGTATGTCAGCAAGGATGAAGGGTCACACTTACTTAGCTTATTGGCTGGAGGTGGATCTGTTTTGACATCCAAATGGTCAAAATATTACTTGTTAAAATTCTGTTAACTCACTTTTATGGCGTGAGGCTGTAGCATAGTTCACTCATGAGAAATGAGTTCTTATTAAGGAAAATAAATTAGCAAGTGACTATTACTAACTATTGAAAAACTATTAGTATTTTACTGAACAAAATGTAATCACATTTCACAGGAGAAATACTGTGCTATTATTTCTCCTTCATTAATCCTTTAAGATACTATATATGTGTGTTATGTCATTTTTAATACTTGCTAGTCTATTTCCCACAGTACTAGCAGAATTTAGCTTATAATATACAATAAATTTTACTTTATATTGTGATTTTTACAACCAATTATACTGATTTTTCCTAATTGGTTATTTAGGATGAACTAAAATGTAAAATATATCGGTAAAAATGTATCAGTACATCACCTCACTGAAAATGTCTTTGGAAAAAAAAATCCATGATGACATTTTATTGTTTTTTTTTCCTTTGAAACACCAGAGTTCAATTCACAGTTTAAAAATCATAATTTTTAGAAGTAAAAGATAGCAATGTAAAACTCTTACCCAGACTTTTGTTCAGTCATGTGTTAATCTGCTACAAGTCAACTTATTTTTGTGCCAAATATATATTTAAAATTACATTTAAACATGATAAGTTAAACAGGACATTCCCACAGTGAGACCAAAGCAGGATATTCTGAGGGGAGGATCACAAAGGCTCAATAACTATATGAATATGATCATATAAGATGATACTTAATGAAATGAGCTCCAAGAAATGGAAACAAGAGATATTTTACTTTACTTTTTGTGGGCTTTTTTTTCTATTTTCCCCTTTGTTGCTGTTTTTTATTTCTGTACTTTTTGTCTTGTGTGTTGGGGAAGGGAAGGGGGGAAGCACAGAAACAGTGGGACAAAGGGTGAACTAATTCAGTAGTGATACTCACTAGATGCTATGTTGAAAGTGAACTATACAACTGTGAGGGAAAGGGACTCAGGAGGGAAAAACTGGGAGAAAATAGGGGAGGGGGTGACACTGTTCAAAAATAAATGTACTCATTACCTGATTTATGTAATTGCAACCCCTCTGTACATCACCTTTACAATCGAAATTAAAATTTACCATCTACAGCCATACCACCCTGAAAGTGCCCGATCTCATCTGATCTTGGAAGCTAAGCAGGGTCAGCCCTGGTTAGTACTTGGATGGAAGAAATTAAAATTTACCAAAAAATTTTACACCTCAGTTTTGTAACCTATACCTACAGGATAAATACACTCCAAAAATGTCATCAAAATCCTAATCTATACCAGAAATGGAAAGTGTTTTCGTGATGCTTTAGGTTTGTATGAGAATTTTAAATTTTATTATATAACTTTTTTACTTTATTGTTATTATAGAGGTGATGTACATACAGAGGGATTACAATTACATGAGTATGGTAATGAGTATATTTCCTTTGGTGCAGTACCATGTGTTCTCTCACTCTCTCTCAGTTCCTCTCTCTTATCACCTCCCACAAGTTATATAGTTCACTTTCATCAGTGTCCAGTGAACTCCACTGCTGGGCTTTTTCACCCTTTTCCCTTGAGTTCTGTGCCCTCCCCCACACCTTCCCATGAATACAAAGCATACAAGTGAATACCTAACTAGATTGAGAAGCCTAAAAATAGAGTGGAGAGTTTGGAGCCACTACAAACTTAATCATTAGCATCCCAGCAGCACCACACCAGTGTCCTGTGGTCCTTTTCACACTTCCCTTTGTTCACCTGGCCATTGTAGCACTAATACCCTGTGGAGTGTGTAGCAGAGGCACCCTTATCTCCATTGACAGATATGAAAACTGAGAACTAGACACACTAATTGATCTCCTTAAGGACCTTTTTTTTTTTCTTCTTTTTTTTTTTTTTTTGGTTGGTCATGGGGCTTGAACTCTAGGCCTGGACACTGTTCCCTGAGCTCTTCAGCTCCAGGCAAGTGCTCTACTGCTTGAGCCAAAGCACCGCTTCCAAGGAAACTTTCTTGAGTGTGACTTTGTTCTCAATTTCACTTTGGGTCTCTGCTTGGAACACAAATCCCAGGCCCTGGGTCAGAGAGCCATGATGAGAAACTGTCTTACATGCAGGTATTCGTGCCTTGCCCAACTCAACTCATGCTCAGAGAAGTCCAAGAATTAGATCCTTAAACTAGAAAGCCAAGGATAATGAAGTCGTTTTGAGATTTAATATATGTGTGTGTATATATATATATGGATATTTTTCTAAAACTCAAAAACTCTTCTGTTCTCATTTTTTAAAAATGGTAGTTGATGGCAGTTGATTTTTTTAGCTTTCCTACTAAACTCATATCAGTCTTTCCTCCTTAAATTTTCCTTTAGATTTAAGAAAACCAGTGTACCAGGAAAGGAGGTTGGTGTTGCAAGGACCTCTTTGTAAAATTATATGAACCTCAGCTCTCTGGTCCTCAAATTAGAGGTTGTAATAACTAAACTCATGAGATTTATTGTGAGGATTCATATATTACAAGAAGCAGGCATTATGTGTAATAATAACCACACATCGGAATTATAATGAGACTCCCCATATTTCTGGGATCACTTAGTGTCCAGTAAGGACAACCTACCAACAGCTCTGCCCCCACCTTCCCAAACACATATATCCACTTGTCCAATTGCCAGCTGCCCATGGAGCCAGGAAACGTTAACTCCTCTGTTCTTATTCAGCATCATAATATGTGTGATAAGAGTTTTGTGCTTTGTACATAAGAAAGAATTGCATTCGCATGAAAGAGCACACCAGTATCCAAACTTAGGAACTTTATATGAACCAGTTTTTCAATCTTAGAGAATTCCATGGTAAGACTTTATTTCCCACTCTTTCTTGATGCTGGCAAGTCGGACCAGGAGGAAGATGCAGAGCTCAAAGCACAGGTAGAAAAATGAAAATAAACCAAAACCCAATATGTGATAAGCCATTGTTTGTCTATGGTGCTCAGGTCTTTCCGCATGCTCTGTAGCTTTTAACATGTCTCTGGTGCATTGCATAGGATGACATGTTCCCTTGACTACTATGTCCCTTACTTTTTTCCCTTTTCTTTTCTCCACTTTTTTCAGAATAGTCTGATTAAGCGAATAAAGGGTGAAAATGTGTATGTCAAACATAGTAATCTTATGTTAGAGGTTGGTATTAGTATATACCAGTGCATGCTTGTGTGTGTATGTGTGTGTGTTTCCCTTCCGTTGCACACCTGTGGGCTCATACCGTGATGCATGAACTTTGTGCTCACCTGTTAGAAGTGGGGATGACTTCTTCTTTTTACTTACTCTGACTCCTAATTATCTCTTAGAAATAGATCCCTTTTCCTGGATATGTATTTATTTTCATTCTTTCCCGTTACATGTAAATTAAGCTCCTGCCAGTTTACCTTTTAAATTTTTCCTTGTTTTGTAATTTCAGATGCTTGTGTGAAACTAGATTTTTTTCTTTTCTTTGTCTCTTCTCTCTAGAAATACCACATTTTTGCCAGAGTATTTGTGGCAATGTTATGATCCCTAATCAATATTCAGTTTTCTTTTGATTACTAATCAGATTTATATTACTCATTTTTGTTTGGTTGGTTAGTTTTAAGAAGAAAGAGAGCTGAAAGGAAAACATACAGAAGATTAACTGTTGGATTCTTTGCCTTTTTCATCCAGGAGCTAGATAAAACTCAGGATGAACTGATGAAGCATCAAACCAATATTAGTGAGCTGAAAAGAACCTTTTTAGAAACCTCAACAGACACTGCCATAACGAATGAATGGGAGAAGAGGCTTTCTACCTCCCCGGTGCGACTGGCTGCCAGGCAGGAGGATGCGCCCATGATTGAACCACTTGTACCTGAAGAGGTCAGTATCCAATCTGGGGGGGGAATTGTCTTCCAGTCACTGATATCACTTCTCTTAGAACAGGGAAAATGGATTTGACCAGCTTCTGAGTAGAGAAGCTCATTTCTCATGGAAGGAAAACCACCACCAAGTAAAATAAGCAGTTGACTGGAGAAAGAGTAATGACCTTAGGTGGTTCTGAGAATCACCAAGAAGCCACAGGGAGACAGTAGTGCAAATCAGCTGATTCCAATCACACATCTAGATTATATAGCTAGAAGAGGCTAAGATACTATCTTAAGTAAAATCACACTTTTTTGGATATACATTCTTCTGCTTTGAGAAAATGCCCTGAAATTTTACTGGTATGTTTCTATCTATTGCAAAATGTCTACTCTTTGGAAGTGTAGCTCAAATGGTAGAGCACCAGCTATAGATGATAAAGCCAAATGAAAGCTTAGGGTTCAAGCCCCAATATTGCCTTTTCCCCACAAAAAATGACTAACTACTGTTTAGTGACTAGAAGTTAGTAGAATTTCAGAATACATTTTACTCTGATATACTACACCAGGCTTTTGAATCTTTTACTTGGTTTATATTTATAATTTGCTATTTTATCTAATTTATAATTGGTATTTATTTTAATGAACAAAACAGAGAATAGAAATTTCTTTTTAAGTGGGGAAAATTTTCTTTAAATGTATGACAGAGTGAGGATACAATTATTTCAACATCCATTATATTGCTGTAATATTGACTGTACTGTTTCCTGTTAGATACCATTATATTCTCTGTCTGTTTGTGTGTGTCTCTCTCTTGTTTCTCTCTCTCTCTCCTCTCTCTCTCTCTCTCTCTCTCTCTCTCTCTCTCTCTCTACCTTTTTTAAGTACCAGTACTGGGGTTTGAACTCAGGGCTTTTGGACACTGTCCCTCTCTGTTTTCACTCAGAAGTGGTATTCTGCCACTTGAACCACAACTCCACTTTCAGCTTTTTATTGATTAATTAGAGGTAAGAGTCTCATGGACTTTTCTGCCCTGGTTGGCTTCAAATTTTGATCCTTTGATCTCAACTTCATAATTAGCTAGGAGTGCTAGAAGTGCAAGTTTGAGACACTGGCACCGGGCTCCCTTTGTTTTGAAAACCACATCTTTCATGCTTTGTATCTATTAACATCCATCTTCTAAAGACCTCTTTATTGTGAACTATTTGTCCAGGAAGCTGAGACAGAATAGAAATGGAGAGAGACCTTTGTATACTCAAAGCGGTCTATATGCAATCCTAAAACAAGAGTCAAGTTACATCCATTGTTGATCATTTTCTAAGCCTCCTCTGAAAGCTATTTATAAAATGTAGCCAGCACATCTCTATCACAGCCAGTCCCAGGTCTAGCTGGCTAGATAGAAATACTTACCCATTTGGCTTACTTTGAAAAGGGCCCTTTATGCACAATAAATGGAAAACAATATTACCAAAATATGCCTGGTACCATTGAATATCAGTGCTATTCAAATTACTTGAGTTTCAAGACACAAACCTTTTATATCTAGTTTAAGTATTAAAGCTCTTATTTTACTAAGGATATCACTTTATGAATTATGCTATCATAAATTCAATTGTAATTGGCCAGGTTTGCCTTACTTTGTTTTTGCCCTCTTTTTTAGAAATAACATGCTGGCTCTACAGATATCAGATGCTGGGTTAAATTACAAACATACAAAATAAAAAAGTCACTTAGGAGACAGCTAGGGAAAGAATGTCATTGTCCAAAAAGAAACAGACTCTTTACCTGACTTGTATAACTGTAACCAATCTGTACATCACCCTTATAATAACAATTTTTAAAGATATTAAAAAGAAAATAGAATAAAAAGCCACCCAAAGAAAAACAAACAAAAAGGGAAGCCAAGTATTTAGTCACACACTAATAGTTGTCAGGTGATAGCCATTTTGTTTGTTTGTTTTGTTTTTGGGTTCGGTCATGGGGCCCGCACTCTGGGCCTGGGCGCTGTCCCTCAGCTCTTCAGCTCAAGGCTAGCGCTCTACCACTTGAGCCACAGCACCACTTCCGGCTTTTTTTTCCTTATGTGGTGCTGAGGAATCAAACCCAGGGCCTCAGGCATGCAAGGCAAGTGCTTTACCACTGAGCCACCTTCCCAGCCCATGATAGCCATTTTGAATGAAATATTAGATTATAACTTAGGGAAGTTAATAAGGGCATTTGAAAAGTCAAAGCCATTATATTCACAATTTTTTAACTTCTAATTAAATCCTGAATCTTAGAGGACAATATTAAGTGAATCCCAAAAGCATTAAAACTTTGAACAGATAATGTTTTGACAATACTGAACTTTCTTTAGATGTTGATGCCATTTTTATGTGTGTGCTAAAACAATGGAGAAGGCCAAGAAAAGAAACATGTCCCCCCAGAAAGGCAACACATTTAGGTTTTTAAATAAGAGATCCAAAGGTGACTTCTCTACTAAGTTGTATGTGAGACATCAGTGCTGTTATGCTAGTATGCCCAGATGAAATGGCAGGTGGTGTTTAGCTAGCTTTAAAAAAAAAACTCTAAACAAGACTGGTTGAATGTGACTATCAAAGGAGCTTCAAGTCTCAAAAGAAGAGAGCTTTCTTTAGTTGGTCAGATTATCACTGGACAGCAGGGCCAGGTAGAGAGGCTGCCATATTCCCTTCTGTTTCTCCCCATCCCCCCAGGATCTGATGGTCATCAGTGATGGCCAAGGTTTCCAGTGAGGGCCCTTGTAGCCTTAAACCAGAAAGTTTTCATGCTATAAATTGCTGCCAATTTCTATATTAAAAACATAGCTTCTACTACTAGTTTTAGAAAATGCAGCAGAGATCACCTTACTCTCCAGCAGGTCTAAATAAAATATAGTGATTTCAATTAAAAAAAAAAAAAGAACCTCGGGGAAGGTAGGGAGGGAAGGGATGGTAGGGGGAAAACAATGGAGGGGGTAACAATGCTCAATAGGAACTGTACTCATTACCTTGCTCATGTAACTGTAACACTCTGTATAGTATTTTTACAATAAAAAATTAAATTAAAAAATATAGTGATTTAAGAAATATATTGGGGGGTGTAGTCATGGAGATGGGAGGGCAGGGATGGTTAGGGGAAAAACAAAGGAGGAGGCAACAATGCTTCATGTAATTGTATCCCCTCTGTATGGTATTTTCACAATAAAAAAAAACTTATTTAAAGAAAGTATATTACTTAATTTAATGTCACTCTGTTATTTAATATAAACCACTTTAATCAAACTAAACCAAAAAGAGGCCTACTTATTTCCAAATGGAAATGTTTGACTTATTTTTTTAATTGACACCCCCAATTTAAGTAATACTATTAGTGTTAACATCAAGAAGAAACGTAAAGCAATGACACTAAACTTATGAGCCCAAGTTTAGTTAGGTTTAGTTTGGGTTTTTAATATATATCAGTACTAAACTATTGGGGGGGGGTAAAAAGTGTAATGACCATTGATTTTATTTGTTACATGTATGTAGTTGATTTTTTATTATAATTATTCATTCTGCAAAATGTCACCCACTTATGAACAGTTAGGAGAAAATTAGGATCAGAAATACATATGCACTAATAATGATTATTATGGCCTAGGAACTATATATGTTTATCATATATAAAAATGGTAATTCGATTGTCAGTGGTTTCAAGTGTTTGAGTTAATAGCAGATAAGTAGCAACAGAAAAAATTGACACGCTATTAACATTGGAAAGCAGGGCCCACCAAATAGGTTAGGTGTGTGGTCTATGCCAGGTTCCATGTGTATGGCTGCCCACAAACATTCCCCACAATGTCCTTATGATGCTCTTAGGCCTAGCCCATGCATCATTTAGTGGTTACTTGAAACAAAAAGTTTCAAACCAAGATTTTTTTAATCCATACCTAGTAATACCTCTGCAGTGCCAATATTGTCCTCTTTTTTGTGTGAGTAGATTCACAGTTGTACTCACTATATAATAGTGAATATGATGTTTATCATATACTGAATAGTTCCTTGAGCTAGACATGTAAGATATTTGACTCCCATTATTCCTAAATTCTATATTTTTAAATTCATCTACTCCCTAAAATTTACTTGTAGAAACTTAGTTGACAAAGAATGAATGACAACAACTGTGTGAATAAGACCTTATTTCCCAAATGTAACATGAGTGTGATTTTGATTTTTTTGGGGGGAGGGGGGTCAGTCGTGGGGCTTGAACTCTGGGCCTGGGCATTGTCCCTGCACTCTTCAGCTCAAGGCGAGTGCTCTAACTCTTGAGCCACAGCTCCACTTCCGGTTTTCTGAGTGGTTTATTGGAAATAAAGAGTCTCATGGACTTTCCTGCTCGGGCTGGCATTGAACCATGATCCTCAGATCTCAGCCTCTTGAGTAGCTAGGGTTACAGGCTTGAGCGCCCAGCGAGTGTGATTTTTTTTACAAACCTGAATGAAATGATTGGTATATTTGACTATATTCTAAACTCTGATAAATGTACATTTTTAAAATACCAAGCTCTCGTATCATTCTCCTAGGAGGTGAATTTAATTCTAAAATTTATCCCCTTATGTTTTCTGTTTCTGTCATTGATAGACATAGTTGAATGTAGCCTGTGCTGACAT